TCACACGGATGAGGTCGGACACCTTGTGCATGTAGTCAGTGGCCAGCAGCACCACCTCCTCATCCTCTGAGAAGTTGTCGTGGAAGATGCGGTCCAGCAAGCGCTTCCACTTGAGCTGGCAGGGCGGGCAAGGGGCACTGTCAGCGTGGGTGTAGGGACACCCCCTCCACGCCCCCTTTTGACTCTGCTCCAGGCTTTCCACTCTCCCACCGCCCCTTCGCCCTTGAGCCAAGCCTGGGGCCTGGTGCTGCTCCATGGCAGTCAGGAAAGTGCGGGATGGATTTTTGGCCCTCTGGAGCAGAGTAGTTGGGGGGCAGCTGAGGCAGAGAGGGCATTTCTGGGGGCACTGAGGTATTGGGTTGGTGGGGTGTGCTGTGTTACTCAGGCTGTGGGCTAGCACTGGGGTCACAAGATTGGCAGTAGGGAGGGACATGGGGTGGGTACAGGGGCAGCTATGGGGTACAGGGCAGGTGGGGGAAGTGGGGTGGCAGGGTGGGTGCGAGGGGTGCTCACAGTGGGGGTGATGCGCTGCAGCTCGCCCAGGGTCACTTTGTGGTACATGGTGCTGACGTCCCTCCGCACGTCATCGTACTCGGACACCGTGATCTGCACAGGGGTGGGCACGGCCATCATCACCACGCAACCGGGGGGGAGGCACAGCTCTGGGGTAAGAGGGGCTGCTGACCTGCACCCCTCCCGGCTCACTGCCCCATGCCTCACTGTGCTGCCAGCAGTGCCCCAAAACCTAGGCCTGGGGTCCCCAAGGGCTGGATGTGGGGGAGGGTCCCCAAAAGGGCTGGGCATGGACATTCCCTATGGTTGTGGTCCCTCACGGCTGGATATGGGAGTCCCCAGGGCTGAGGTCCCCAAAGCCTGAGCATGAGGGTCCCCAAAAGGCTGAGGTGGTTGCTTCAAGAGGTGGGCATGGGAGTCCCCAAGGGATGGGGTAGAGGTCCCCTTCCTTGGGCATAAGGGTCCTCAAGGGACTGGAGTAATATCCCAAAGACTGGGTCTGGGGTCCCCAAGGGCTGGGCAGGGGCACCTCAAAGCCCAGGCCCGTCCCCCCTCACATTGGCAAGGTGCTGCTCCAGCTGGAGGATCTCCTGGGCCTTTTGCTCCACGTGCTCAGCCCCCAGCAGGGTGAGCAGCCTCTCCATGAACACTCGGTACGCTGCCAGGATCTGCACCAAAGGAGGAGCCAACAGTGAGCGCCACCCCACAGCACCCAGGGGGCACCCCGGCCCCTCGGCATCGCTGCGGATGCTGCCCCAAGCTGAAGGCAGGGTGCCTTCTGGCAGCCCCCTGCACTGAGCCCTCGCTGAGCCCTGGGTGCCCCCCTCACCTTCTCGCTCTCCTCATCCTGCCCCAGGTACAGGGTCCGTTCGGGCAGCGTCAGCCCGTCCTGGTCGATCTGCGGGGGAGATGGGGGAGCGGGTGAGCAGAGCCCAGGGCAGGGGCCAGGGCACCCTGGGGTGGGGGCCATGCTGAGCAAGGCGCTGGGTTATTGCAGAGTTGCACAGAGCAGAGACCCCAAAATAACACCCTGGGGACCCTCCCATTGCACAGGAGCACCCCTGGGCCCCTCCTCCCCAGCACAGACACCAGTGGGCCCCAGGTCCCTCTCCCCCCACCGCGGACCTGTGGCCGACCCCTCCTTGTCACCAAGGGTGCAGGAAGCAATTGGGTAATGGCAGCTAGACCAAACCCACCATCGGGGTGGGCAGCCTCCCGCGTCCCCCCAGGTGTGAGGTCCCGCAGGGCCTCTCAGAGCCGGGGTGCAGCACCTCCAACCCTGTATTTCAGGGTAGCCCTGGCCCTCTGGGTACCGCAGGGTGGTGGCACTGTGGGTCAGCCCCAGGCGTGAGTGGGCTGTTGTCCTCCCTCCCCCCCCATGCCTCAGTTTCCCTCCTGCTAGATGGTGCCGTGGCTGTTGTTGGGGGGGGGGGGGGGACAGCCTGCCGTGGGCTTGGAGCACAGG